TTCGCTGTTATAACCTTTTTTCGTTTTTTAGGTACTTGATCAAAAAAAATTTTTATTGTCTTCGTCAAATGTCACATTTTTTTAAAATTTCAAATGGCACCCCCCTAAACAAATTATACCTATGGGTAAGCCAAAACTACAAATTTTCCACTGATACAAAGAAAACCACTCATTCCATAGATAAGAAACGCCATTTGCGCAGGGTTGGCAAAACGAAAAACCCATTTAAAAAACCCACAGGGTTTTTGTGTCAAGAACCCACCCAACGACCTATACAAAAACCCAACACAAAAACTCATACAAAAGTCCCAAGAATTTGAGACACAAGATGAGACAAAATCGAGATGATTTTTATATAGTATTTCATAACAAAACATGATGTAGTTTACTTGGAAACAGACAGGTACTGATAGATCAGTCTTACATTCTTATTCCTAAGTTTCAAGAACATTTTACATTAAAATATAAAATACGAAACGGCTTTTTCATTAGAAATAAAAAAATAAAATATATTTCACTTGGAAACAGTAAGGTACTGATAGACCAGTCTTTATATTCTTATTCCTAGTTTCAAAAAAAAATTACATTAAAATATAAAATACAAAACGGCTTATTCATTAGAAACAAAATAAAATAAAAATAATAATTAAAAACCTAAAACAACTTTTTCTCTTTTTTAAAGTGGCTCATTTTTATTATTTTTGTAAGCTTTTCTACTTTATCGGGCAGTCTAAGTTCAAAATTAGTGTTATTTTTCTATAATCTGAGGTTAGAGTTCCGGAAATTCGACAAATACCCAAAAATTACTCAAATACCCAACAAAAACACAAAAACCCAAAACCCCACCCAAAGCATACAAAAACCCAGATTTTTACCAACCCTGCATTTGCGAACCCAAGTGTGACGCCAACAAACAATTCGGGTAATAGTCTCCAAGAGTAAATACCATATCATCCAGTTCTACGTGAGTTTGGAACGTTTTTGCAACGCTGATTATAAAATAATCATACACTGCCGACATTTTACTGTTAATTGTGAGAATTGAACATCTTTTGTTTCATCACGGCACACTTGGGTTCGGAAAAGAACGTTTTTTTACAAATTGGCGTTTCGACTTGGTTTTTCTCTGACATTTTCTTATGGAATGTGTGGTTTTGTTAGTGTATTTTCCTCAAAGTGAAAAATCGCTATTGGCTGTACTCAGGGTTGGGCAAAATACATTCACTTGTGTATTTGAAATACAAAATACAAAATACTTTTTGCTCATGTATTTGAAATACAAAATACAATTGTATTTGAAATACATTAAAAAACACTTAATCTTAAATATTTTATTATACCTATCATTTACATCTTACGTATACTGGTATACACATATTACTATATTATTATTACATATTACCCTTGAGATAAACTAACTTTTCAAACAATGTGTCTGATAAATTGCCTCTTGTAGGCGAATGAATGTATCCCGCAAAAGAAAACAATCTTTCAACTGGGGCCGATGAACACAAACTTGTATTAAATTTTATAAACGCATGTTTAATTACTGAATAATTATTTAAACTTACTAGTAGTTTATTTTTGTCATTTAAAAATGTCACAAATTCTAGTTCTACTTGTGATTGTTGTTTATTATTAGATTTTGGTGACGAAAATATATAAAAATCTTCATCTTCGCCACCACTGGCACTTTGTTCAGAGGACGAGAATGCTAACTGTTGTTCATGAAATTGCTCTAACGATTTAACACACAAGTCCTGTAAACGTTTTCGTTCATATTCTAAACGTTCTGGTAACCACTTCAACTTGAATGCAGGGTGCAAGCATGTAGCTATAATTGCTTCATTTACTTCCGGGGATAGCTCAAAGAAATTTGAAAATCGTTTCTCTATTGATGCGATTATACCTTTAACCAGAGATCCTGTGGGTTTGCGAAGATGCTTGTCTAAAAGAGCTGTCATTCTAAAATGTAACGAAAACAATGTAGGTATAAGTTGTCCGTAATAACATTTTTCTTCTGTTTGCAAACAATCCAGTGCTGTAGCCACAGGCTTCAAAATGGTGAGGAAGTCCTTTAAGTACTCCAACTCAATTTCTTTAAAGTCGGGCAAAGCCAATTCTTTATTTAAATTGTTTAATTTTTCTCGGTATTTCATTAATTGAGATAATGAATCAAAAAGTGAATTCCACCTGGTAGGGCACGGGTACAGCAAACTGCAGCCCAGTGTATTCTTAATTATTTCAGCAGTTTTTGGTTTTCGTGATATATTCCACAATACTGTACATTTTGCAATTGCTGGATGATGTATTCGGGACATTGGAGAAGCCTCCCTTATAATTTTTTGCAGGTCTGTTGTGGCCACTAAACTTAATGTGTGACTTGCACATCTTAAATGATTTGGTAATACTAATACTACAGAAGAGGAATCATCTTCATCAAAATTCAAAAACTCTATATCATCGTCTTCGTCTTCATCTTCGTTGTCAATGTCTTCACTAGCTGAAGAAAAAACTTAATGTAATACATATTACATTATTATATTACATTATTGTATTTAAATGTGTAACTACCATTTTTTTGCACAGTTTGGAATCCAAACTCCTTGAACGCTTTGACAAAATTGCTGCCATTGTCTGTAATTGTTGACACAATTTTTTTCATTATCGAGTCCATATTCGGAATTTATGTCATATAACATTTCAGCAATTTTATCGTACGAATGAGTGCCTCTGAATCGTGTACATGCTAATACGCTCTAGTGTATTTTCGTCAATCTAAAATTAAAAATGTTGAGTTAAAATAAGAAAGTATAATATGGCACCTCGTACCCAATGGGCAGTAACACCCCTAAAACTTCGGTGTTTTGTAGACCAGACATCAGCTGTAGTTGAAATGTACTTTACTGTTTGGAATACCTGCTTTAATTTTTGTTGGATTGAACTGAACAAATCCTCAATTTTCCGCCCCAATGATCGTCTTGACATGATTTGCAAACTGGGTCGATATCTAAAATTGTGTTTAGTAATGTGTTCTTAACAAAAATGATTTACCTGTAAATATTTTTCTAAAACTTTCATCTTCCACCGTTGAAAGCGGCCGCATACTACGAACTACGTAGTTAATAATATTATTATCAAATTTTTGCTGCTTAGTGTGTTTCTGAACAGCTTCGTTCACTTCAAACAGTTTTAATTGTTTTAGTTTTGGTGTTTGAGGATCTGTAGTCTCACATGATCTTTTCCCTCTTACTTTATGCTCAACTTTATATTTCTCGAATTCATCTACAGCTTCCTTGTGTAGTCGCTGCAACAAAAATTAATAAATAAAATAACTACTATTGCTTTAATTATTTATTATCACATTACCTTTAAGTGTGTTTTAAAGCTGGTGGTGGCTTTTAAAGTTCCACTAATTTAATTGTTTTTGTTATGTGCACTAGTACACAATAAACACCGGGCTCTAACTTTATTTGGGTTATTTGGATCTTGATGCGTGATTTTGAAATATTTTCCTTGAAGTATTACAGGAACAGAAAGTGGAGAAGTAATTTCCTCCATTTCAACCGATTCTGAGACTGATTCCTTTTCGTTTCGACCTTCCATCATCGACATAAGCATATAATAATTTCCAATTTTTTAACAAAATTATCGCACGACCGTCACAATAATTATTAAACAAAATGTGCACGTTTACAAATGGCGTAGCAGTGTAAATCAACGTTTACACGAATGCGATTGGGCACAGAATGTTGAAATGTGACGTGTGCGTGTGTGACTCCACGTATGCAACCGGCACTCATATAAAGCCTTGGCTTAGACTATGAAAGAGAGGGGACCCGTAATAGAGAGCGCGCGCGTGAAGCAAATTGCGATCATACTGCCACCACCAGTGGCGCCCGCTCGGGTATTACATTAGGAAATTACAATTTATTTATACTGCCATCATGGTATGATTAACCTGTGTGTACGTCGGACATAATATGGGGTTCTTATTTGAATGGAGAGACAAAAAACGCGATAAACGTAAACATACGACCCGACTTTGATCGTTTCAGAAACTGGGTGCGCGATATAAGCGCAATATTATTGAAAGTATACTTACATAAGTATGTATATATTACCACATATACCTTTAGTAAAATTCTGCACACCCCGTTTTTGAAGCGATCAAAACTGAAAAAGCGTAAATTATAAAAGAGTATAATGTACGGTATATGTTCCTTATGCTCCAATAACAATTTGCAACACATTTCGCTTTTAATTAATGCACACATCTTTCTGGTGAGGAACCCTGCAACGTATTTAGCAATTTGTTCAATATTGCAGAGTTCATGCTTTTTGAACAAACATTTATTGCAATATCTTCCACTTCTATTTCATTGTTCCAATTAATTGAAGCATTAATTATTTGTTCGTTGCTTCCTTGCGACGGACAAGTTATATAGAATAGGGATTGTATCCAGAGGAATACAACTCTCCACCCCACTATCTCACAACTCTGTTGTAATCAGCAAGCGTTTGTACTTTTGTAGGTATATGCACTTTCAAACTGCCTTGAGGTGGGGTTGTTATTCTATCCATCCCTTGATCTTTTGGAAGAAGAAAATAATTCCAGATGGTCCTGGCTTATTTTAGGATCCTTCGCAAAAAATACATTGCCGTTTCCCTATGGTGCGTACTACCTGGGACACATTGTATCTTTTTCTTCCCGATATATCTGCTTGTTTGTGAATGGCAGTTAGCGCTTCTGATGTGAATCCTGGGAAACAATTGACTGATTTATACAATTTGCCGATGGTGCACACCAGTACATACATACACTGTTCTGACATAATTTTACCCTTTTGGAGACAGATCATTAGGTTATACACTGTTTGCGGCTAAGTGCGGAGAACCAGGTGATCATGCACCAACAAAGTAATTAATGAACTGTAATCTATCTTGATTGATACACTTCTTATTAGTTTGGTTATCATGAAGGAAAATAAAGTACAACGTTAGTAAATAATTCTTATATTGAAAACTGTACAAATAAAATAAATGTACCTATATTCTTTTCCGAGTGAATCTTGAGGGCAAACGCAGCTGATGGTTTCAGAATGGGAAATTATTTCTAAACAAAATAGCAACCATAAAATAGAATAAATGAATTGGAATACTCACAATTATACAACAGGCTTTGGCAATAAAGCCCTAAGCAGTTTCTTGTACTTCAGTAATAAGCTGTTGATACTATAGCAAACCGTTGACGATGACGACGGTGATAATATTGAATTGATATGTCTTCTCCCCTAACGGGTTTAATCATAACGATCTTCCTTCAGGATATCTTGTCTTTATCGAATGTGGCGGCGATCGATGTGTATTGCTTCGAACATCGATCGATGACCTCTCTCTTTTGAAGACCAAATCCTATCTGTCGTACTACACGTAAGTACAAAAGCAACATACACTGTAGTTAAACTACTCCATACAAAGTAATCAGCCGCCTAAGGGTTAGGCATCCAAACATGTACCTATCTGTTACGTCAAGTAACTAGATAGTGACGCCGCCACTGGAATATCGCTTGCAGGTTATATCACTTGCTTACTGTAAACGAGAAATTATCAATGAAAATAAGTATAAAGCACTATTTTATTGATGCACAAAAATCTAGGACAACTGTAAGATTATGAAAATGAAGACCTTAGAAGTGTTTTATTAACTACCATGAAGATTTAATTAAATTTAGCCAAACCAGACAACGTGCCGTTTTTTATCTTGCCTATGAAATGATATTCCTGCTGCACAACGACCACTGCTACTTTTACAGTTGTACGCAGAACAATTCACCACGTTTATATCACACAGTTTTGCACACACAAACTTTATTAATAATAAAGAAATGTCAATAAATGCACACTGCCACCACGCTTTGACTGCCACCGAAAATATGGCGGTCGTCTCGAAATTCGCGTCAAATTCACGCATGCCGTGGATGCGGTATTACGGGTCCCCTCTCTTTCCTTGTCTAAGTATAAAGCCATACATAAGTGACAAGTGAAGTAAGGCCCTGTTTACACGCATACCGTACTTTACAAAAAGTTGAATAACTTCTACCTTTAGACGGTAAAATCAGATCTAGTGTAAAACGCTCTATCGGCGATAGTTATGGAAGATTTACTTTTTTGTGTATTTAAAATACAAAATACATTTACATCGTGTAATTAAAATACAGTATTGAAAATACATACAGGGTGATTCCTATAGTACCTGCCACCGTTTGGGAGCGTGTAGGTGGTGCGTAGAGGAGTATTTTGATATAGGACACTTGGGGTCGGAAATCTAAAATAAGGGTGCCAGAGCCAAATTTACCTTCTGGAATTTCGCGCCTGTAGGTAGGCAACCCAACCGGCCGGCGGTGCACACGGAGCGATCTCAGGCGACGATGTGTGGCTGACACTTGATCAGAATTTTGTTTAAACCCACGAAATCCCGTCTGCAACGACGCGTATCAAGTGAATAAACACTATGGCACGTTTTACTAACACGGCATACGCGGACATGCACTTCATGTACGGATTGGCAAATGGTAACGCACGAGCTGCACGACGAGCGTACGCTGAGCGGTATCCAAACCGTCAGTTACCCTGCGCAGACAGGTCTTTCAAGAAGTTCACTTCCGACTGTGCGAGACAGGGCAATTGCAGGTAAGCTGACGGAGGCTTAACTTTACACACAGATTCGTGATGCACATCGATACTTGGGTCATTTAAGCACCCATTTCGAAAAGTTTGTTTGTTTACACCGACCTCCTCCTATTTCGCAGCCCACTAGCGCCCGTGATCGCGATCGCCCGTTGGTAAATGTCTTAGAGGAGGATGTGTTGGAACGTTTCGAGGCAAACCCGCGTACTAGCATTCCGTGTTAGTAAAACGTGCCATAGTGTTTATTCACTTGATACGCGTCGTTGCAGACGGGATTTCGTGGGTTTAAACAAAATTCTGATCATGTGTCAGCCACACATCGCCGCCTGAGATCGCTCCGTGTGCACCGCCGGCCGGTTGGGTTGCCTACCTACAGGCGCGAAATTCCAGAAGATAAATTTGGCTCTGGCACCCTTATTTTAGATTTCCGACCCCAAGTGTCCTATATCAAAATACTCCCCTACGCACCACCTACACGCTTCCAAACGGTGGCAGGTACTATAGGAATCACCCTGTATGTATTTTAAATACTGTATTTCAATTACAAATATTGCAAATACTGCCCAACCCTGGCTGTACTTTGTCGTCCGTCACACGTACTCCTACACCACTGAAGCGATTTGGCCGATATAGGGCTCATTTTTTGGTTTTGTACAGGGCGAATCAACGATTGCGCGGAGTAACTTAATGCCTTGAAGATAAGTGCTTTTGTATTATGATATGGTTGAATATTCTCCACATTTTAAAAATATTTGGAATTATACAGGGTGCGCCCACGAATTAGTGCGCCAAAATGGTACATTTTTTTTAAATAAAACCCCCTGTATTTGAATGCATTTTTGAATTCTACGTGTAATTGTACGTCTTTTTTATTATATGGTTAATATCCGTGAAATTAGTAATTTTAAAGATAATTCGATTTGTAAGAAAAATTGGGCATTTGCAAGCGCCAGTATATTGTCAAAATTATTACTTAAATTTTGATTCCAGGTTTTATATCTTTTATCCTGGGTTAAGTAAAAGTCAAATAAATACATCTACAATGAAACATTAAAAAATAGCTTACAGGTTTTTTTTGGTAGATCCAAAGTTGCAAAACTTCATACTAAAAAATCTCACTTTTTTTAAATACATACTATAATTAGCAGTACTAAGTTATCAGTATGGTCAAGTATAGTTTAGATTACCAATTTTTGGCAATATCTGATTTATACCTGAAGATTAAATTCTGATTATTAAATACATTAACTTCAGGAACAGTGTTACATGTGATTAGCATTGAGCACAAAGTAAAACGCCCATATGTCTATGATTTTATTGATTCAGAAGGTATAACATACATTACTTTAAAGAGTTCATGCCCTCAACATACTTATTAAGATTACAGGGAAATGTAAAACTTTCAGTCCCACGACTTGTAAGTGCAGTTGGTTCAGGTAGTGGGAGCTTCCTGCAAATCTGCTTTTTGTTAAAGATATAATGTTCATTAATTCTAGCAAACTTGAACGCCAGAAGTACGCAACGTCTAGTTCTTCATCTTCTCCAGATAAAATTTCCCCGATTGAATTTAAAGCTTTCACACACCCTTCTCTTACAACAACAAAGTCTCCTCTACTAATCAACAATTCTTCATAATTAAAATTGCTTTCCTCACTTACACTCCTCTCACTACTATCCTCCAAGATACCACTAACGCTCTCATCTGAAGATGATGATTCGATTTTCCGTTTTGCACTTTCAATTTTCTTTTGTTTGATATTTTTCTTTTTCTTGGTTTGCCTCATTTGTATGTCCTCTACTATTTGGTTTTTTATAGGAGTATCGGTTAATATTTTGCTCTTCCCCTTTCTTCTTGTTTAATGAAGGATGTGTTTCAAATACCGTTTTCATCATGAGAGTAAGTTTGATATTGCGGTTTTGGCTGCCGCACGAATCTGCCCATAGTATCAGTTCTTTTACATTTTCATTTATATTTTTCTGAATGTGTTTCAAGAGACAAGAACCTACCTCTTGTGCCCCGCGACCTGCTTCATTCTCCATCCATACATAGCAATATGGCCTCTGAGTGGTTCCCGAATGTACGCCCAAATTGTACAACCATATTTGCCGTTTATAGAACAATATTCCGGTTGGAAGGCGTGGGAGAGGCAAAGGTTTTTCAAGATCAAAGCTTACACATTCTAACCAATTGGTTTCCAATGCCTTTTGGATATCATGTTTCCATTGTTTCTCTAGCACCTTGCCACATTTTGATGTGACAGTCATATCCCTCTATTAGCTTTGATTTTTCCTCTTCACTTTCTGAACTTCGTATTTTTGCTTGATAAGTGTTGCAAGTGTCTTTCTTTAGTACTTTGAATTTCACATTAAATTCAGTTAGGAAGATCTGGCTATATACTGCAAAACTAACTGGTTTTTCGACTTCTTCTGTGTATTTACGGTGCATAAGAGTTAACGTCATTTCCGGTGGGAGGAATAGAGCATCACCATTCTGCTGTCTACGATAGTGACTGATATATTTGGGAATTCTGTCATTCAATTTGTTTGGCAGAAATTGCAAGAAATGTTCCATGTGGACCTCCATCTTTTAAAGGTAAAACAAAGCCAATCAATTTGTTGGATTTTGAGTCATATTGAATGCGATTCACAATTTTTGTGGCGTCCTCGCTTAACCATATAATTTTGGGTAAATTTCGGTTGTCAATGAAGCTATTCGATTCTTTAAATCTCACTTCTTGGGTGTCAACAGAACCCATCCCGCGTACAATACGTGTTGTTATAGAAAGAATGGAGTTGGTCAGATTTGAATATAATGTTTCGTAGAATAATCGACCGCCCACAATGAACAAATATGTGCAGAATCGTTTTAAATCGCAATCAAAGTTATTTCCCTTATTAGATGCATTTTTGCTATTTTTAACAGTTTCGTATAAAAGTGATAGTAATTGAGGAACTTTATCTATAGTGGCTGTTGCCCTCGATTGGAACGATTCCGTTTGTGCGTCGAGAATTCGATCTAAAAGCATCTGTTTTAATTCTTGGTTTTCGTTTAATAGCTTGTTTATGTCATCAATTGACGAAAAATATTTTGTAATTAAGTACTGTGTTCCGGGTATCATATTTTAACGTGCTCTTGTTCTCCTTGATGGCCTTGAGTATTTATTTCTCCAAGGACCACGTACTACTGGAGGGCTCTGGTTCCTCATATACAGAACTACACGCCCTTGATGCAGTTCTGTCCTCACAAAAATCCTCACCCCTGTCGTTTTCCGTTGATGAATCGATTCTACCGAAGATTCTACGCTTTCGTTTTTGACGAGGTTTTTGTACTGGTGAGAAAAGAGAAAGAATTATACGCGTATTCTCATATTGTAGTTTGCGAGGATATGGCGAATATTTTCATTGGACTCTATCAAACGTACTTTCCACTTACATCATCCATTTACCGTTCATTTTTTCATTTAAAAATAATTTACCCATTATTTACCAATTACCACTTATTTACTTCTCATTTACCTCGTCATTTACTGATTTACCAGTCATTTACCACTGATTTACTCATTTACCAATCATTAACCACTAATTTACTTATTTACCATTACGTGTAACACTCATTTACCAAGGTGGTCAACTCCTCGCAGCTTGATGTTGATATTTGTTAGCAAAGAAGGTGTTTACGTGGAGTTAGAGTTTTTGGAAAGTGCCCAGGTCATGTCATGTTTGTGTCTATTTTTGTAGTTGTTTTTTAAGACTGGAACGCACCATTTCTCAAGTTAATTTTATCCTGCAACAGTTTTTGAGAAAATTTTTCAATTTTCAGAAATCAAAAGTATTTTATTTCCATTGCATTTGTTTTTCTACTGTAGCTTCGAGTGTAGCTTCTATTTGTTCATCCGTGGGAAAATCGTTTTTACATGCCAAATTCAACCCCAAAGGCTTATCGGCATATTCTCTAGTGAAAACAAAAGTTGATATAAATAACTTGCTATATTTTGCATTGCTTGTAATTTATTAATTCTTTTCATAACGTCTTGCAGATTGTAATTTACCACTGTCGAAAATGTGGAAGTCATTGCCTGAGTTGCTCTAAATAATTGTTCGCAGACTGCTAAAATACCATGGAGGGAACTTGTCACTTGTAAACTTCTGTGGTTCGTCTCTTAATTTCTGAATTATCTTTATTAATGTATAGGCATTTAATTCTATGCATAATAAATAGCTATTAAAGAGATATGAAATTGTGATTTACTGAATAAGTGGGATGTACTGATAGCCAGTTTCTCCATATTCTAAGAAAAAACGTAGACTCAAACTTCGACAACTCGAAACAGGTAACACTGCGATCCCAAATGATGGATGAGAATCCAACGTGGTGATTTTTCGGTTTTTTCCTATTCAAACTGGTATCGTCTGAAAGATCTTGTAAGCGCCCACAACTTCTTCGTGACGAGATTTTGTTTTTTATTTCCTAGGGACGAAATTAACGACCTTTTGCGAGTCGCGCGTCTTCGAGGGGTAGTCGGACGCCAAAAAGTTACCTTTAGCTGCGAATTTGATCACACAGCTTAAAGTTTCGTAAAACTCGAATCACAGTCGCTCTTGAATAGAAGCTCGAGCTATGAGAAGTTCCTCAAAAATTGAGAACTATTTTTTGGAGGGTTTTTAGCACCCCCGAAAAGATCTGACTGATGGTGGAGTGCAAACTTCAAACGCGGAAAAATATAGGTATTTGATAAACTCATTAATTTACGGCTTTGGTTTTTGGTGTTATTGTGTTTTGCCAAAAAACGTATCCTAATCAGGAGTATCATATACATCTCTGGATTGAAATTGATTGAAAAATGTCACATACATTCATCAAAACTCATTCAATACACGACCTTCAATTTCAAGAATCGGTTGTTTAATGAACTTTCTTTTTGTTGCAGATCATTGAAAAAATTGATGCGGAAGTTAATCAAGATACACGAACCATCCTAGAATTTGGTCAACAATTTTTATGAGGACAATGGGACCACTGCATACACCGTGATCATAGGGCTATCTCAATCTACTGGAAACGGGTCATTCACGATTGTTAAGTTGACAAGAATCACTATGATCTGAGTGGACTTGAATTACGATTAATGGAAAATACAACAGGAGGGTGTAGCCTACGTTACAGACCAAGAAGATGCAGTATAATCCGAGTACACAACAAAGAAGTAAATGCAACATGACCATCTACAATCTACAAAAATGTTCAATAAAAGCTTTCTATGTTCTGGATGAAGAATCATGCATGACTCATTGTAAACGAATCATTAAAATATTTGTACTTGTTACACATCGGTAGTTTAAACAATGCATTACCAATAGTCAACCTCAGAAGAGCTTCTACGATTAGGTATTAAATCCATATAGGTAATCTGAAATCCATATTTGTGTCATTAAACAGGTTAGAAAATGTGCTCGGAATTCAAAAGTGTAAAAACATAACTTATTTTAGCGGAAGCCAGCTATCCAAATTAAATATATCGCAAAAAAATGTTTCATTGAACTAGATCACTAATCCTTAAATAATAAAGGAAATCTATGATTAAAATGACATTAAATTTTAGCAGGTGCATTACATAATCCGAGAGAGTAATGTAATAAGTTAATTGAAAACTATACACGATATATTCCACTTTCTCATCCATCTAGAAGGCTTTCAGTTCCTAATGTAACAAATGACTCTGTCAGCTTGTGTTCAGATCAGGGATCGAACTGAGTAAATTCCTGGTTTAACTGCTCATGAGACACAGAGTCTGTTACATAATCCAAGTGACAGTCTTAGTAATGTAATGTATAAATTGAAAATTGTAGACGATATATTCCACTTTCTGCTCCTTCGAGAAGGCTCTTAATTTACTACAGCAACAAATATAATCCTAGAGACGATGTATTCCAATTTCTGCTCCATCGAGAAGGCTTTCAATTTACTACTGCAACAAATGACTCTGTCAGCTTGTGTTCAGGACAGGGATTGAACTAAGTAAATTCCTGGTATAACTGCTCATGAGACACAGAGTCCGATACATAATCCAAGTGACAGTCTTAGTAATGTACTATATAAATTTCTGCTCCTTCGAGAAGGCTCTTAATTTACTACAGCAACAAATGACTGTCAGCTTGTGTTCAGACCAGGTATCGAACTGAGTAAATTCCTGGCTTAATTGCTCATGAGACACAGAGTCCGTTACATAATCCAAGTGACAGTCTTAGTAATGTACTATATAAATTGAAAATTATAGACGATATATTCCACTTTCTGCTCCTTCGAGAAGGCTTTCAATTTACTACTGCAACAAATGACTCTGTCAGCTTGTGTTCAGACCAGGGATCGAACTGAGTAAATTCCTGGCTTAACTGATCATGAGACACAGAGTCCGTTACATAATCCAAGTGACAGTCTTAGTAATGTACTATATAAATTGAAAATTGTAGACGATATATTCCACTTTCTGCTCCTTCGAGAAGGCTCTTAATTTACTACAGCAACAAATATAATCCTAGAGACGATGTATTCCAATTTCTGCTCCATCGAGAAGGCTTTCAATTTACTACAGCAACAAATGACTCTGTCAGCTTGTGTTCAGACCAGGGATCGAACTGAGTAAATTCCTGGCTTAACTGCTCATGAGACACAGAGTCCGTTACATAATCCAGAGACAGTCTTAGTAATGTACTATATAAATTGAAAATTGTAGACGATATATTCCACTTTCTGCTCCTTCGAGAAGGCTCTTAATTTACTACAGCAACAAATGACTCTGTTAGCTTGTGTTCAGACCAGGGATCGAACTGAGTAAATTCCTGGCTTAATTGCTCATGAGACACAGAGTCCGTTACATTATCCAAGTGACAGTCTTAGTAATGTACTATATAAATTGAAAATTGTAGACGATATATTCCACTTTCTGCTCCTTCGAGAAGGCTTTCAATTTACTACAGCAACAAATATAATCCTAGAGACGATGTATTCCAATTTCTGCTCCATCGAGAAGGCTTTCAATTTACTACTGCAACAAATGACTCTGTCAGCTTGTGTTCAGACCAGGGATCGAACTGAGTAAATTCCTGGCTTAATTGCTCATGAGACACAGAGTCCGTTACATAATCCAAGTGACAGTCTTAGTAATGTACTATATAAATTGAAAATTGTAGACGATATATTCCACTTTCTGCTCCTTCGAGAAGGCTCTTAATTTACTACAGCAACAAATGACTCTGTCAGCTTGTGTTCAGACCAGGGATCGAACTGAGTAAATTCCTGGCTTAACTGCTCATGAGACACAGAGTCCGTTACATAATCCAAGTGACAGTCTTAGTAATGTACTATATAAATTGAAAATTGTAGACGATATATTCCACTTTCTGCTCCTTCGAGAAGGCTTTCAATTTACTACAGCAACAAATATAATCCTAGAGACGATGTATTCCAATTTCTGCTCCATCGAGAAGGCTTTCAATTTACTACTGCAACAAATGACTCTGTCAGCTTGTGTTCAGGACAGGGATTGAACTAAGTAAATTCCTGGTATAACTGCTCATGAGACACAGAGTCCGATACATAATCCAAGTGACAGTCTTAGTAATGTACTATATAAATTGAAAATTGTAGACGATATATTCCACTTTCTGCTCCTTCGAGAAGGCTCTTAATTTACTACAGCAACAAATGACTCTGTCAGCTTGTGTTCAGACCAGGGATCGAACTGAGTAAATTCCTGGCTTAATTGCTCATGAGACACAGAGTCCGTTACATAATCCAAGTGACAGTCTTAGTAATGTACTATATAAATTGAAAATTGTAGACGATATATTCCACTTTCTGCTCCTTCGAGAAGGCTCTTAATTTACTACAGCAACAAATGACTCTGTCAGCTTGTGTTCAGACCAGGGATCGAACTGAGTAAATTCCTGGCTTAATTGCTCATGAGACACAGAGTCCGTTACATAATCCAAGTGACAGTCTTAGTAATGTACTATATAAATTGAAAATTGTAGACGATATATTCCACTTTCTGCTCCTTCGAGAAGGCTCTTAATTTACTACAGCAACAAATGACTGTCAGCTTGTGTTCAGACCAGGGATCGAACTGAGTAAATTCCTGGCTTAATTGCTCATGAGACACAGAGTCCGTTACATAATCCAAGTGACAGTCTTAGTAATGTACTATATAAATTGAAAATTATAGACGATATATTCCACTTTCTGCTCCTTCGAGAAGGCTCTTAATTTACTACAGCAACAAATGACTCTGTCAGCTTGTGTTCAGACCAGGGATCGAACTGAGTAAATTCCTGGCTTAATTGCTCATGAGACACAGAGTCCGTTACATAATCCAAGTGACAGTCTTAGTAATGTACTATATAAATTGAAAATTGTAGACGATATATTCCACTTTCTGCTCCTTCGAGAAGGCTCTTAATTTACTACAGCAACAAATGACTCTGTTAGCTTGTGTTCAGACCAGGGATCGAACTGAGTAAATTCCTGGCTTAATTGCTCATGAGACACAGAGTCCGTTACATAATCCAAGTGACAGTCTTAGTAATGTACTATATAAATTGAAAATTGTAGTCGATATATTCCACTTTCTGCTCCTTCGAGAAGGCTCTTAATTTACTACAGCAACAAATGACTCTGTCAGCTTGTGTTCAGACCAGGGATCGAACTGAGTAAATTCCTGGCTTAACTGCTCATGAGACACAGAGTCCGTTACATAATCCAAGTGACAGTCTTAGTAATGTACTATATAAATTGAAAATTGTAGACGATATATTCCACTTTCTGCTCCTTCGAGAAGGCTTTCAATTTACTACTGCAACAAATGACTGTCAGCTTATGTTCAGGACAGGGATTGAACTGAGTAAATTCCTGGCTTAACTGATCATGAGACACAGAGTCCGTTACATAATCCGAGAGGCAGTCTTAGTAATGTAATGTATAAATTGAAAATTGTATACGATATATTCCAATTTCTGCTCCATCGAGAAGTCTTTCAATTTACTACTGCAACAAGTGACTCTGTCAGCTTGTGTTCAGATCGGGCATCGAACTGGGTAAATTCCTGGCATAACTTAGTAATGTAATATATAAATTGAAAATTGTACACGATATATTCCACTTTCTGCTCCGAGAAGGCTTTCAATTTACTACAGCAACAAATATAATACGAGAGACGATGTATTCCAATTTCTGCTCCATCGAGAAGGCTTTCAATTTACTACAGCAACAACTGACTCTGTCAGCTTGTGTTCAGGACAGGGATTGAACTGGGTAAATTCCTGGCTTAACTGATCATGAGACACAGAGTCCGTTACATAATCCAAGTGACTGTCTTAGTAATGTAATATATAAATTGTCACATATGGATTGAAAATGGTCTTCTATCGGATGGGAAATTGTGATTACTTCGTATTTCATTTGAAAGGACTTCACAGCAGTAATGTTTTTCATGTCCAAGTATATGCTCCAAATAATTCAAAGTTAACTTTTAAAGGATTATGACTTTTTCACTGATAACAAATTCTTCTATTTAAAATCCGAAAAATTAACGTGGGTTTAGGCTGGAAACATTGAAGGCGCATCGAATATTCTAAACTCACTGTTTTGCAGTTAAAGAAAACCGCTTATATTTTCTCTTAAGATATATTATAATTACGCGAACATGTGCTTGCGTTGACTAACAAACACAGAATGAATCCAGAATCCAGTAATGCCTTAAAACTAATTGTGCTAATTATTTGAAGGAATGTGTTTCGGCCAAAGTTAATTACCTGCCCTAGACCGGTCCTTTTGTTATAACTTATAATCTAGGTAAACCGTACAAATGAATATTAGATAAACTGTACAAAGTATTTGAAATATGTGCAGGGGTGTCCAACACTCACTGCAATAAATATTATTGTTGTTTTGGTTGATGTTGCTGCTATTACTTCAATCAATTTTAAAACGTTTGGACTCTTTCGCTCCATTGTGGTTTATGGTGCAATAACAAGTCAGTCCGTGAAAAAATTTTGGAACACGAGTTGCAAGAAATCATTTTACCTCTATAATAAGATGACATGCGGTGTTCTCAGGCTCACGGAAAGAAGAAGAGATAAAAGTGGCTTTCTCTCAGTTAATGCTTTCCATTGCTGAAAAGTAAGAAGCCAAAGTATGTTGGCATTGTTCGACGACGGGACGTACGACGGATGGATCTAAATGAGGGGAGTGGAAAGAAACTAATATTTTTTATTTAACCGAAATAGTCAATTTAGATGGTTCATATTAATGTAACATTTTTCTGAAATTTGTGGAAGAATAACAAATAACAAAGTAGTATTCTCCTGCAAGAAATTTCGACGAAATACTAAACTACATGCGCCCGTAATCTACCACTCTCTAAAAGGTCGGCGCCGTTCCCCGCGACAAATCTCTTGTATTTCAAATTGACTAAATAAAATGAGCAAAAACAAGCGTTCAAGAATAAATACTTATCATATGCATTTAAGATATCCACACACACACAGGGTGTTGCACTGCGGTCACTACTAAGAAGCTGTATAAATCTAATAGTAATAATAAAAATACGTTCGATGTAAATTTCTTAACCACAGTCGCTATACTAAGCGAAATTAGAAACGAATTAAAAAAATGCAATTAAGAAGTACATTGGAAAAACAAATTAAACGGTGGATACCTACCTAGAATCCTATTTTTGTTGGCATAATTATAACTGTACACATCTTATGACCTCCTAGCATTCCTAACATACTCTTCGACTGCGATGATATTGGCCCTAACGTTTCCAGGGCTTCTATATAATTACGTTTTAGTTGATAATTATTTATTGTAAAATAATTCTACCATACACGAGAATACTCACTAACCGAAGCCAATATGAATAATCTCTGACTTTGCTAAGCTGTGATGCATTTTATATACCTCTT